CTAGCACATTATCTTGAGTTTTAGACAAGCTACCTGTCAGTCGAGACAGCCCTGCTATCTGATCTATTGATTTACAATTTTCAGAATTTAGCATTTTCAGACATCAGACTGGTAGTTATCGAAAAGCAAAATATTCAGTAAAACAGAATTGATATCGTCATGAAAAAAAAAAAAACGAATCTAATAAAGATCCAATTTAGGGGCCTTACATATCAAGTTGAAATTGCCTTTTTCACAAAAAAAATTACACAAATATTTACTGAAAAATTATGATTTTGTCACAAATCAGAATGTGGTCACCCAACAATATTACCAACACATTATTAAATTTGGAAGCAATTGTAATAGTAACTTTGAAGAAGTGTCATTTATGTATTAGCAAACAGTGAAGTGAAAAAACTGTAAAACTTGTCACCACAAATCAAATTTAATCCCCCTTCCAATAAGAGTCCCATGTATAACCTACATACCGGTGATCAGAATAAAATAATAATAACAGATTTATCTCTATCATCGTCAGCGACCCTAATTGTTTTTCGCAAATATTGCAATGAGCAACTTATTTACAAAATTTACAATTTCTAAGAACTTTCAGAAAACTATATTGATCAGCCTTAAATATTGTATGTTTCCAGATTCATCTAGGGAGGCCATCAACCCCTTTGAACTGACTGATATACAGTTACATGTATGTACCGATTGGATTTGACAGGTATTTCTCATTTTCAGTTTGTTATACAATGTCTTCCCTGTCAGGAAGCTTAACAAATCTCATAATTGACTGTAAGACAAATTTCCCTGTCAGTTAAAGTCAGAAAGTTTTGTACCAAAGGTGTTTTTCACTCAAGATAGCAGTCGTAGTGAGACACACAGACGTTTGTATCAGTGAACATTTTACTGAGACCATCAAACTATCCCAAAAATTGAAGGCAACAAAATTATATGCATGTTTAATACAAAGTGTTAAACAGTGTTTGTGACGCGGATCTCATGCTTTCTCGCGTTAACTGCTTCCTCGCGAGAATAGATGGTTACACGTCAACGAGACAGAAAATGCTGTGCAACTACCGATTTGGTTGGCGATGTTAGTAGTAACAAAGTACCAGTCGAAGATGCAAGACCAAGTTGCAGTCAAACTTCATGATTTCCAAGATCTGCACGTCATCAGCGCAAGCAACATCCCTAGATTCCGTTAATCCCAAAAATTAAACTATGCATGTATTGTGTACTACAGCTTTTTGAGTACACACTTTTCTTTTTTAGCATTACTTGACTGTGTAATTAGGAGAGAGAAATTACATGGCAACTGTCAAAAGCTAGAGGGGATGTTTTACAGGAAGTGGGCACAAAATCTCAAAAATTGCACATTTAATGAGGTAGCATAACCTGAGTTCTTGTTGAGAGCTCAGGGCTTGAAATTCAGAGTGAAAGGACACCCAGTTTTATCAAATTGACTATGCATATTGGGATCCATATAGGAAATATATCATCATTTTCTGAAGAACACCAATTAGGCCAACTCTTTGAGCATCAAGGCAATTACTCCAATTGATGTCTTCTTGAAGTGCAAGCACTAACTGAGTAACTAAGTTAATATAAGAATGGCTTTCTGAGAAATCAAGTTGTATGAATTGAGTATAAACCACTAGGAAAATATATATTGTTGCAAAACATGAGAACATACTTTCCAATATAACTGCATATGGTAAAGCATTTGTTTTATTTAAAAAATCAAAGTTAGAGCGAAAAAACAGTTTGACATAAAAGAAAAAGCAATAAAAGTGCACAAATAGATTATAAAACTTTTCTATGCATAGAATTATCAAATTATTTTAAAATTTTATCATGCGGTTTTCATTGAGTTCTCCTCCACAGGATATCAATAAATTTGACTGCTCGAAGACATATTCCAGCCAGAGCTATAAATATTACTTATTAGCCTTGTCTGCTTGATTCATCTATTTTAATATTTAATGTTTGATTAATCTGATGCTGGAAACATGATCTTATGCAAGTGAAAATCTGTGAACATTTCTAGAAGCGGCAATCGGGGATTATCAGTATCATTTTATACACGTGCTGCCATACAGTTTATTACGACTATGAAAAGCCACTGTATATCAAAAGTTACCAATTTTATACCATTAAATCCCCATGATTAGGTCGTAAGGAAATTTTCCTGTTATTGGAAGTCTTGTATTTCTGATGACGTTATCGGATATCAGAACTGTTACAGCAATATGAAGTCTCGGTAGCGAGATATCCAATGCGCAAACATGTATAATTTACTGATTATGTTAAAGTGAAACAAATATGTTGCCTTTAGAGGTGTTGATTTCAATGGAGAACAGAACAATCTATGAATTATGAAATTGTTTATAAAACGTGGTTATATGCATGATAAACATGATTACCCAGTAGTCTTTGCGTGCTTGTACAGTATGTGGTGAATTTCAGACTGGACAACAATAATTACATGTGCATGCATGGTGTGATGATAATAACTCGTATCAGAGGTACATTACTTGGGGTTTGTAACTACGGTGACATGATACCAAGATCCCGTCACAATCTCGCTCTCGCATAAGCGTTCCAACTCAGAAAAAATGCGAATGCGCATGCCTGAGGTAACTAGGATACTGGGATGTTCAGGTGGATCAAAATAGCTGCCCACGATATGACGGATTACAAGAACTATATTTGCTGTATATTTTCGATGTATTACATTTTTCACTATGATAGTGACAAGAAAAGTTTATTTTTTTCATTACAAACCTTGAACATTGATATGCGTCATGTCAGAAGGTCGTAGCCTCAGTCTCGCTATCTACGAGAAGAGACTTGAATGGGATCTTGACATGATGTCACCATACAGCACTATGCGAGTTGCAAACCCCAAGTAATGTACCTCTGCTCGTATTAATGATTGAAAGTTTATTTCAAAATATATATTTCTGCCAATTTTGAGAATTATCACAAAGTCTTGTTCTCGGACATGCTTATACATCAGACCTACATGTAATTAGCATGAATTACCATATTATTCATAAGTGCAGTTTCGTAAAATTACAATTTTTCGTTTTAACATTTAGTGTGCTCATTTGATAAAGGCTCATCACCTGATATC